TATACCGAGACTACGCAGTTGCTTTTGGAATCCTATCCAGAACCTTTGTTAATTTTTAATACATATGCTGCGTCTCTGATTCCAACGTTGCTTCATTATATATCACTTGTTATGTTCGTGCTAACTCTATCTAAACTAACGCTCTACCTAAATGGCAACGGTTGAGCCCGCGAGACATACAAACATTCGCATGCAGATGCAGATGCAGATCTGTTATAAGCCAAGAAATTAAACGTTGCCGCTTTGTACTATTTTTCAAAAAAACTACGTTAGTAAAAGTGTATGTAAGCAGTTCTTCAGGGCGTTCACGGTAACTAGTTAGGGAAAAAGTAAAAAATGAGCCTATGTTTGGTAATCGAAAAACAGATTGGTGTTGCGAAGTCAAGGCATACCTAATAGCAGCGTGTATTACTCATTTTCCTATTTCTCATAATTCCTCACTCACTCTAATTGTAAATTGCAAATCTAGCGTCAATATATATAGTCTAAGTATATAATATATATATACTAGTCGCGTATATAATAGTCTAAGTTGCCGAAGTCTATATTAGTGGAGCTGATTCATATATTTTGTCCATATCTATAGCCTCTTAATAAGCTATTGTACAGATGTATAATAGCTTATTAAGCATCATTAGCAGATGATAAATCGAGCAAGATTGTTTAACTGTACTGGGTAGAGAATAGTAAAAGCATGCCGACGGACACTAGGTGAAAGTGCCATATTGTATATAAAAACGATCTAAGTTTGTTCCATCGTAGGGGTAAGAGGAAACATTATAATAACAACCCAGTCAAATGTGCAAGACTGACGCCGATAAATACTGTGATTGCCGTCTTTCGTATGCAGATTACAGGAAAACTTCATTTTAAAGGTAACTTGGGCTCGAACAAGCAATCCTGAACTGAATCTTAGCAGGTAACGTATACAAAACATAGCTTGCAATCCAAAAGCTGACAATCAAGATAAATAAAAACGGTACACAAATACCATACGATTTGTGGCACTAAAGAAGCGTAATTTTGCGATGTATACGAAATACGGAAAACTCCTTTATGTTAAAAGGTTAAGAGTGAACCTTTCACAAAGCCGGCCCGCCACGTTCTTGATCGTTTAAGGTTTTTATTTTGGCAAGTCGGTCAGTTGCCAGCCCTGTTTTTCTTAATTTTTTTCGTAGTAGTGGTAGTAACTGTATACTATGTAACCCGTATCTCACAATTAAAGTGGTCTTCTTTTTTGTTTCAAGCTTCTCATTTTTTGTTTTAGCGGTTTTCTTTCTATGATATGGATTGCCTAATTCAACTGTTTTTATTTTTAATCATACGATCCATCAGCTCAACAAATATATTTACTTTTCTTAAGGCGCTGACCAGTTTTCAAGAGCGGGGTATGACAGGACTGTGACTGCTAGTTTTCAATGTTTGTCTGCCATCGATGTAAATATTTCGGGCTTTATTTGAAGGAAGCGCTTACCAGTTTCAACAAGCTCCCACCAGACCCGAAGGTCTTGTCCTACAACAGCCGCTCTATCGCTGTCTCAATTTTTCTGCGCCTACGAAGATATCATATGGTATAATAAAGAGCACTTTTACCATAATGTTTATGAATGTTATCAATCTTCTAGTGTATTATTCGTGTATTTAGCTATGCATTTCTACGTAAATATGTAAGTATGCAAAGTAACAACGGTACCTGCTGCGAGGACAAAATACGCATGGGTGGTGTCAATTTGTGGCCTTTCTCAGTCGACTTCGTACTTTCTTAATCTGATGCTGCCAGCCTAAAAACATCTCACACCAATATTTTTCCGGTTATCTAAGATCTTGCAAGAACGTGTTTGGCGATATCCTCTATTTTTGCTTGGTGCCGCCCTCTCCCCTCGCATGTAGCACTGCATCGCCAGCTTCATCGTTAAAGCAGCCTTCACGCCTTTTAAAGGTGAGCCATCTTTTATACTTTAGGTGCTGATGCATCACGGGCTCCGAATAAGCCATTCGTGTTAATTTGAACCAGACCAACATAAATCTTGCATATTTTTGCCGTCATTGGGGGTCAGTGCCTTGCTGCCTTTCAACCTCGTTGCTCTCTTGAAGTTGAGCTTTTCCTAATTTTGTATCGCTCGAACCCGTTGTTCTTCCATTCATCCGCCGCCTATGAGTCGCTGGGATGGCCAATGTACATAGGACTGTCGAGTTCTTTGTGTCTGTCATTCGTAGAGGCCTGTTTCGCTGTGGCACGGTTTTTCCTTTTCAAAGGCTCCGTCCTTTTTTCAGGTTTTTTCGATCTTCGATTTTTCGAATGGCCTATGCAGAGGAGCTCGGCAAGTACTCAATGACGTTTTTCTCAGCCCCTACGTAGTTGTAGCGCATAGCTTCAGTGTGGTTCCTAACCACGTTGCTCTTTTTTTCGCAGTCGTAACACCATATCTATTTTACCTTCTGCGTTTGTTGCTTTTATTTTAAGCGGTCTAATCGTTCTATATCTGAAACGGTATAGCAGTAATTCAGACAGTTATGGAATGATAGGTCCACCTTTTTCTCTTTTGTCTAAAAATAGGGTACCCGCTACTTTTTCTAAATGTATTGCGGCTTCATCTGCAGCATTCTGTCGTTCCGGTTACTCCCCGATGACCGTCTCTGAGAACTTCATTGTAAGCATACTTCGCACTACCTTTTTGGTTGATAGAGGACACGGTGTGAAACCTACGGGACTTTATTGCTTTCTTGCTCATACAGGCCAAGCAGTTAAACGAGAAAAGCTGCCGCGGAGGAAAGCCCAGCTAGGACGGTAGCCTGAATCTTATATTTTGTGGTCTGGCAGTTTAATATGGAGGTGAACTATAAGTCAGATATTTTTCTCAAGAAATAGTACCTTGTTGATTTCCAGGAAGTTTCACCGATTTATCTGATAATCAGTGCCGTAACCGTCCACAGTTTCCAATATATATTCAAGAACTGTTTAGTTTTCCAAAGTTCGATAGTATAAACAAACATTATATTACCGAACTTTTTCTGTATTACCTTTATAATCAGTTATTGTTTTTTAAAATTTTTTTTTGAAAAAAAATTGTTTTTAAAATTTTGTTACTAAGAGGTAAATGATGATTCTTCTAATATTTCTTGATAATTTACAAAAATATTCTGAAGGTTTGGAAACGGACGTATTGCAATAAGTTAGTGAGAAATAGGCCATAACGTGTTGAGATTACGAGAATGTTTCAACGTGAAAATAGGGTTGCTTATTAACGCGGTGACGGGATGATCCGACGTAATAGGTCTTCACCTAACTCAAGGTCTTAGAATTGTAACCATTTCACTATAGAAATTCATAATACATCTATATGTTATTTATGTGAGGTCCAATGCAGCACGAATCAAATCCATTAGTGTTAATACAGGCTGATCAAATCATTGGAAACAAGCAATAAGGTTGTTTCGAGACACGCGGCGATTGTTGATGTTCTGATTAGTTTAAACAGATGCTAAGATCAATTCTAATTATCTAAATTAATAACAATATAACAATGAAACAGAGCCAAATGAAGTTTAGAGGTCAGAAGAACCTAACCTCCTGTCCGTTCGCTTCCAGTGGATCTTTTGTATGCTGTTAGAGTCAGATACTAAAATATAATGCGTCTTTGATCTCCACGATTTATGCACTTATTCCTTCAATTTGGACAAGTATGATCTTAAGAGGTAAAATTATCTTTTTGAGAAAATGCTCAAGAATTTTTATCAAATTTAAGTAACAAACTAATTGTAATGGTAAAATAAAATAAGTGTAGAAAAATTAAAAGACATTTTAACCAGCGCAAAGACGAAGTAAAACACGCTTCGATTTACATTTGAAATTAGAAATATTTATATGCTGAAGTATCTAGATGCATGCCGAACTGGGCCAATTGTAATGGGATAACTGCAAAAACGCCATTTCCATTGAAGAACGCTATCAGTGCAACAGGTTAACTAAATTGGTGCAATAGGATCTTTGAAGAATCGCAAGAAGACTAATAAAAATGGAAATCTCTTCACGGGGTAACTGCACCGAGCTACTGTAACTGGTGATAAGATAGCAAATAGGTTTATGAACCAAGGTGACAAAACATCCGTGTCCGTCGGGACAGCAGGGTTGCGAAAGTAATGCAATCGGGCATAAAAAATCATTAAAAAAACGCAATTTTAGTTTTAGAAACCTGTACTCAAGCTAGTGTATAATATTTTTTTTCCAAACTACTAGCTTTCAGGTTATCCAGGTGGGTGGGCTCAGTCATGTAATTTTGATAGGTGAAAGGTGCGGAGAACCACGTGCTGACCAGCTTTGCATATAGACATCTTTGAAAGAGCGATACAGCTCTGTTGAAATTAAACATAAAAAAAAATTAAAGAAAATCAAAATTAAACTTGTTAGCCTATTTTATCCTAGATGAATTGCAGTTAAGTAATCATTACAATGACGGTGTTTTAATGACTGAATAAAGTGCCGAGCTTGCACAGTAGAATTATTTACGTTTTAGTTAAGCTTTGTCAATGCGACGCGAGTGGAGTTAGTGATTGTAAAGAGCGCGTAGAAGTTATCCCAAAATGCCTCTACTAAAAGCTAATAAAAATCTGCAAACGAATAAAAAATACATAGATTTTGTAAAAAAATAGTAAGGACCGCATATTTTTTTTTGTCATTCTTATTGTCTCATTTGCATATTTAAAATATAAGTCACTATTTTATTCTAGGCAAGTGGAGTAAAAACTAGTTAGGAATTGTTTTGTTTTAGATGTTTGCTTGTGAGAAAAATCTCTGTTGAATTTTCTATGATAAATGTAATTTTTCTCAATATGTAATCCGAAATGTAAAACAGAAAGACAGTTTGACGCGTTAATTCTTTAGATTTGACAAAACAATAAAAATCACATCGAAATGCTTTACAGCTGTCCAGCACTTGCCGACATAGCCGTCGCAGAGTCAGGTTAAATCCAGGTTATGAAAGCCTGTAGGAGAAGTAATAACTGTTTTCGTTAGCAAAATACTCAACCTGCTATTCCAACCGTATATAGGTAAATTTTTAGCCAAGCCAAGAATTTTAACCAAGCGGCGCACGAAAACAATGTCAACATCTAAAAAAAAAACTCTAGCTGATAATACATATTTGTTTCTGTGCTTTACTTTGGGAATCGTAAGCACTGTATAAAAACCAAAGTTAGAAGTGAGCCAAGGGCAGGATCGAGTGTAAATATCCAATACGCTAGATCTACTTACGTTGCTTAGAATGGTTTCTTTAACTCGATCAACTGTATCACATAAGGCACATTTTACCAGCTCCAAATAGTGCGCCGCACTAAGTAGTAACAAAGTTTCGTTTCGGAGCTCGTCAAATCCAATATGCTCTTCCTTTAGCAAGGCTAAAATAGTACATAAAATTACCGTCGTAGTAGTGAAAAAAGCTAAATAACATGGCAGTATCGGACCTCATTTCAGCCACTGCATTTGCCTAAACTGTCTCCTCCGCAGGACGATTAAGCATCTTGCACTTATTTTCATCCTAGGAATTCTTGCATCCTTTGCATTTTATTTCCGAAGTTCTTTTTTATATTTAAGCGTATTCCAAATGACAAGTCTTCATTTCATTTCATTTCCAAAAAAAAAACACGAAGAAGGTTTTTTTAATATTTGATGGTAGCTTGTAAATTAGGCGACGCCTTATTGCTGCAACTCGAAAATGATCGTAATGTGACTGACTGGAACCGTGGATTCCTGAGTTATCGCACTAGCGCTATACGAAGTGTGGAATGTAATCTGAGTTCTCACACCAGAAACAGAAATACTTAGGAATCTGGCAGACATTCTGCCACCCTGAACAAATGGTTCGGGTTAATAGACAGAAAAAAAAAGAGACTCTTAACAGCGAGGAATTGTTGACTCTTCTATTATCAAATCACGTTGCACAGAGGGCTTTCGATTAGTGACGAGCAACTAAAGACTGGTCATTTGGCACTGTCCATGGCAAACTTTTAGCAAGCTTCAACATGTTCAACGCCGCTACTTGCCAAGGAAGCTGTTTATAATATGTAAGAACGACGCGTCAAGCCTTGCGGGACATGTCCAGTTCCTGCCCAGTTCGTGCTCAAATTCTTCATCCTTAATACCAGCTTAGTTTTCTTCATCTTGAATGTAACAAAGCGCGAACTAGTAAAGCTTCTACCGTTCGAATCAAAATTATACATCTTACCTGTCTTATTTCTCGTTGTAGAGTCGATGAGGCGTGAGTGCTTCAAGTCGAGTAGCCATCGAACAAACTAAACTATAGAGAATTCAGACTACCTTGGACTCTACGCTGTTGCAGTCGTTCATTTTATTCGAACGTCTCTTCGAACGAAACAACTCTCTAGCACGAAAAGATCAACTTGTAATTTATATACCATAGAGTTTTAGACGCATACGAGTTGAAAATTCCGTGCAGCATTAGTTAGAAGATTTTTTCTGTGACTAAATTTCAAGACTGGGCTCATGTGCGACAAT